TACAAGATACCAAAAATCTTATTTTTTTATTTTATAAATGAATTTTTTGAAGTTCTATTAATCGTCTTTAAAAATATTAATTCTTTTTAGAAATTTAAATAAAAAGTAGGGTTTGACCCCGAAGGCTCGGGGGCGGCTATGTCGGGGTACGGGGTTTTCGAATTGCTTCGGGGCGGGGTGCGGGGTCGGGGAGCAAAATTAGCTCGGGGACGGGGACGGGGAACGGGGGTTTAAAGAAAAAAATTTTAAACAAAAAATGCTCTAAAAATAAGTCATTTTCTGTCTATTTTCGTTAATTTATTCAAAAATTAATGAAATAAGGTGGGATTGAATGGTTTTAATTGATTTAAAGTGTATACCTGGTAAGATAAATAAATTCGGACGGATTATTGAATATTTGAAAAGTAAACTGATATATCTGGTGATATAAGAGGTTCGAATATTTAAGGGCAGTTCATGGAATATCAGTTATTTAGAAGAATATTGACGGATTAAGGATTTGAAGGGAATGAAGGGAGATCAAGGGATTTGTTCGAATATCAGAGTATATCTGAGGATTAATATCTCAATGTCGCTCCTAATCTCCCGTTCGATATCCTCAAATACTCGTGATTCATTCAAACCCACTTTATTTACGCCTATTAGTCCTTCAAATCCTCTTAATCCTCTGATTTCATACAAATCCCTTGATACCTCTGATTCCAGTCCACCGATCACCCTCTAATCTTAGCTATCCAACTGAGATAAAATATAATTAGTTGAATTAATTTTAGATCAGGCGAAAATTTTGAGAATTTTGTTAGATCATAAAGCCTGATTTCTTCTCTATAGCGCCGCAGGCGAAAATTTTTTTATTTCCAGAACTAAACTAAAATATTTGGCTTGTTTTTATGTTAGATAATATTTAAAAATAAAATTGAACACTTGTTATAATTTATTTTTTAAATAAAAATAAAATAAAACAGATCTCCTTATGTGACTCCATAGACAACTAGCTAAATCTAACACTAAACCACTCAACCACCGTTTCTTTGAAAAAAAAGAAGAGAATTTTGTTATTACATTCATTTTTCCTTTATAAATAATAAGCACAAAGTAAATTGGGAGGAAATTTTCTAAATTTTTCTCTTTAAATTCCTCTAAAAAATGGCATTTTATAAGGGTCTTACCCCCGACAACCCCGAAAATTTTCGGGTCGGGGAACGGGGTTTTCGAATTGTTTCGGGGCGGGGAACGGGGCGGGGAGAAGTCTGAAAAAATCGTTCGGGAGCGGGGACGGGGAACGGGGAACGGGGTCGGGGTCAAACTCTAATAAAAAGGCTCAAAGTTATTGGCAACAAGACTGTTGAAAGTGACAGTTAAAAGTTGCAGACCGGTACAACCGAAAAGAATCTATTTCATTTAATTTAACTTTGCCTCTTAAAGATTTATTCAAAACAGTGTGAATTTTTGAAATGAATTAAATTTTTCTTTAAATTTTTTTTTGATTTGAATCAATTTTTTAAATTGTTTATTTTCTCGAATTCAGTTTCTCAATCATATTTTCTCAACTACATTTTCCTCCTGGCATGCAAAATTGTGAACAACACGGGGGTTTGTCTTTTCCACATCCATTTCCACTATCTATACATTTTGTGCATTTGAGCTTAAAACAATAATAGTTATCTCCACAACAATCTCTTTTATTTTCGGCATCTGGATCGCAATCTTGCCCATTACCAATACATGCTTCATTAATGATTATCATTTTAACAATCACAATGAGCATAATCATTAGAAATTTTGCATTAAATTTGTTGAACATTGTTTAAAGATTTCTATAAAATTCGGGAAAATACGAAATTTGTAGTAAAATAAGGTTTGTTAGCGAGATTTTAAACATTTTTTATTACTCCCACATATGCAAACACGTCCAATATAGAATTTTTTGCTGGATTCCTGATAAGGGAGTAATTCATATACATATAGAATTTTCGAGAGACTAAAAGCCATGTATTTTGATAAAATCTGGTTGTCGGAGTTTGATCTGGATAACCCGACCCGGGCTAGTTTGGATAATCCGACCTCGGCCAGTTTGAAAGAAAAAACTGATCCCGAGCCGGACAATTTGGAAGTAACCAAATCCAAATATATAATGTATCGGCATATAGGGTTTCTGTAAATATTAGTAAATATAGCTGTAAATTAGCTGAAAAAATAATAAACTGCTAAATTTTAAGAAAATTTAATCTTTTTAAAGCATTTGTAAAAAATAAAATACCTAACCTTTACTATTTGTTTAATTTTTATTTTTGATTATAAAATCCACCAACGACAATAAATATTTTCAAATTTCAAAACAAACTTTATATCAACAACTTGTTTTTCAATATAAAATAAAAATATTTTTATTAGCTAAAAAAACTTTTATTTGTTTATACTTATGCTATACTCAACAAAATTTTATAATTTTTAGTCTTACAAAATACTCTATATGTTTATCAGAAATAAGATTGTTTTTCTTGTTTTATCGTCCCACGTTGAGTTAAATTATTATTAACTTTGATAAACAAACAGATTTACAAATAATTCTTGAGCTAAAATTGTTTTTGGATCATAAAATAAATAAAATATAGGTTTATTACTTAGAGGTTCAATAAAATACAGGTTTATTACTTAATGGTTCGTGATTGGTACGGCAAATTGTGTTATGTATTAACATTGAAAATAACAAAAATATTTTGATATAATATAAAATAAATTAAAGAATAATATAAAAAAATCTAAGCTTAGCAGATATGGAAGCAGGCGAAGTACCGCGAGGCCAATAACTCGTTCAAAATTATCGAAGCATGGACGATCTGGTATGTTTCAATACAGCTCGTCGAGGTGCATCAGACGATACCAGGCATCCCGAAAGAATTTCACTAAAATACTTATTCACTCAGATCAAGAATACATAGTTATTTATCTATTTGTTATAAAAGTTGTTCCACCTCTCAGGGCAATCTTCTCCATTCTTGGAACAACTTTCTTCAGTGTTAGGATAACTTTAGAAACATCCCTGTTATTGTAGCAATTCCTGTTATTGTCATTGTAGCAATTCTCATAGCCACTGGAACTAGTGTTCTAGATGACTAGCGAAAGTACCGAATAAGTACTTTTAAGACTACGGGTGCCGGTACGGTACCGATGTTAGATGTTGTTCCTTATTTGGAACAACATCGCCGTTGTCTCTAGTTGGTGTTAGATAACTTTCAAACATAACATTACGATTCTATTAAATATTTACTATTTTGTTTTTAAAGTTTTTAAAATTATTAATTTTTAAAATATAAATTTGTTTTTCCTTTAATATTTATTTTATTTATTTATGAATCAAACAGCTTTTACTATTTCTATTAGCCAAATCACCCGAGTTAAATAGCTTTAAAGAAACAAATCAATAAATGATCCATTTAATCAATTTTTTTATTTTAAACTTTTAAATATTATTTTTATTTAAATATTTTTAAATAAAAATTTTTTTTTAATTTTTTATTTGCGATAAAGAGAAACAATCAATTTAGTGTTACCTTTAATTATTTAATTAAATATACATATAATCAATTAGTAGATTACATATAAAGAATTAATTGTTTATGTTTTAAATTAATTTCTTCAAAAGGTTATTATAAATTTGTAAAATTATTTAGAAATTTTCATATAATTTTACACTCAATTAAATTACCTAGTTTGCTTTAGCAAATCCGGAGGTTTTAGTATTTTTGTAAATACCGTATTTATTCGATTAATTCCCCTGGAGAATTAATTTTTCAACCCATCCGTGGCATGGGGAAGTATTCGAAGGAGAGGGGAATTATTTTTTCAACTCATCTCTGGCATGAGGAATTATTCGAGGGAGAGGAATTAATCGAGTAAATACAGTATGTAATTTCCTTGAACGAATTTAACAATGATTTTTAAACGATCTAAAAAATTAAATTAATTTTTAAACTTAACCATTTTTAAAATATTAAACTAACCAATTAACCTATTTTTAAACTCTTTCTGATCACTTATCCAAAAATAACTACTTACCTAGCTTTATGTTTTGTAAAACTTTTTCTAAACAAAAAATATAAAAATTATACTTAACTTGTAATTATTTCGCAATCAGCTTTTCCTCTTTTATTTGTTTAAACAAAAATATTTTTTTAGTAAAAGAGCAAATAAATATTTAAATAATTAAATACTTAAAAAAATTTTTTTAAGTTTAAGACTTGTTCACTTATAATTTTTTAAAATAAATTTGAGTAAAACTTTAAATTATTATATTTTGTATTGACATTAATTAATTCTGAATTATTTTTATTTTTTTCATAATTTTTAGGCCCTCATTTCTTCTTTATTCTATGTACCCATTCTTTCTCATATATTTCTAGACTTCCATTTACAATAAATGTAAAAAATTTGTTTGTTTAGGTTTAAATTTCCTTTCCCAAAATAATTTTATTTTAGTAAAATGCCATAAGAATTTTTTTATTTTACTTCTAAAAATATTATCCCCGAATTAATGATTATACATATAAATACTTTAGATAAATAAGTCTATTTACCTAAATTAGTATTACCTAAAATTTAATGGAACTATCTATTTATTTCTATAATTTAATTAAAACTATTATTGTTACTAAGGTTGGCGGATCCGGATATCCGGAAATTTCCGGTTCGTATGCCGGATCTGGATCCGGATATCCGAAGATTTTCAACTATCCGCTAACCTTAGTTGTTACTGCTATCCCTCACTCCTTCCCCAAAATTTAATTTTATAAAAAAATTATTTTATATTATTTTATTAAATTAATGCAATCGTTTGATAACAATCACGGTCTGATCTCGGTTTTAAATAAATACCCCGAACTTTTAAATACGATTTCTTCAAAATCAAAATCTGTTTAAAACTGAGACCGACTATTTATTTTAATTTAAATTTAAGTCTACTCAAAAAATATTATAAAATATTTTTAATAAAAATTAAATTATGCCCAATTGTAATTGTGATAACAAACAACAAAGAGTTTTCAATGGTCTAGGATATAATGCTGCACCTTCAGCTCCATCTCTAGAAATTAATATTAATCAAGTTTGTTTTTGAGACAGACATAGTAGTAACTAAAATTCTAAAATAGTCTCTATTTATTCTTAAATATCCTAATAAATCACCAAACTTGCTTTTTAAAGAAGATTAGTATATTTTTAGAATATTTTTAGAATAACCCAAGTCCTTGTCAATCCTACATTGATGGCTATACCCCAACTCCAATCTCTTCACCCATAACGAAATCAATTCGGCGCCCTCCAAATTCACCTCCTCCACCTCCACCATCTGCCCCCTTTTTAGAAAATGAATATTCAACACCTAATTATTTAATTAATGATAATAATAGGTATTTTTAATATCAAGAATTAATTCTCTTAAAAATAATTATAGAAGAGAAGGTTGGCGACAATTAGGCAGAAATGCATCAATTAAGGCTGTAAAAGCAGGAGAGGCTATTCGTAATAAATTTAATAATGAAAGGAATTGGGCTATATTTAAATTAAGTTTATGCGAATTATTATTTTCAAGTAAATTTTAAATTAAATTCATTTATCATTTAATATTTTTAAAATTAAATTTAAAAAATTAAAATTAATTTTAAGCAATTCTTCTTTCACTTGGCATTGTTTGCGTTTGTAAAACAAAAGAATTTTGTCCCTATTATTCGGCTATTTGGACTTCAATAATTTTCATTTTAAATTCATTAATTGGATTAATTACCTCAAAAACTAATTTTGTTGATCATTATATTACTCATTTAATTCTTTCATTAATTTCCATTGTTTTAACTTTTGTTGGAGGAACAATTTCTTTAATGTAAATTTATTTAAATATTTAATTAAAAATTAAAAAAAAGAAATTGGCAATTAATTGGAACATACAAACAAAATAATGAAAGAGGACGGCAATTAATTAATCCAAAAGCAGATGAGGAACAAATGTATAGAGCCTTTTGTCTTTTAGGAGAACACGATTCTCGAAGGATTAGTTATATTTATTCACATATGAATGAATATAATTTTAGAGAGGTAATTAAATTAATTATAAAGGTGTTAAATAATTAGTGGGGCTATTTAATGAACTGATTTTTAACCCTAAAAATTCTATAAAATTAATAATAACTTCGAGAATTCTTCACAAAATAAAATTATTATTTTAAAATCAAAACAAAATTCATAGGAATAATTAAGATTGGTTGTTTAATTATTTGACATCAGAATTAGGGCTGCCGTTTTCGATTCGGGCCGACGGTCAAGGCATTTTTTCGGGCTTGTTTTTATCGAGTCGGGCTTGTACGAGTCACTTTCGGGCCAAAACTCCTAACCCGACTGGATCCTTCGGTTCGAATCCACCTTGGCAACCCTAATTAAAATCCTTATTCTAATTTATAAATTAAACAAAAGAGATTTCAAATTTATTCATTTACTTAAAAATATTTACTTAAATTATAAATAAAAACTTTAAATATTTTTAGTGTCTTATTGGAGTTAAAATTGGCATTGCTGTTAATAGCTTACAATTTTTAATTACAGCATTACTGGGTAAGAGTGGAAAAATAATTTTTTCAATTAAGATTAACTAAATATTTAGGAATTCTTTTTCTTGTTTCAATTGTTCTTTGTTTATTTCGAATATGTACTAAATATGTTGGTGGTGAAGATAATAAAAAATGATTTTTAGTTAATTAAAATCGGAGAAAAAATGATTATTTAATAGGGAAATAAATCTAAAATAATTAAAATCTCATTGTTTTTATAAAAATACATATTTGCTAAAAGTAAATGATATTTCTATTAGAGTCAAAAGGGTTTACCTGGATATTATGTATTAATTCCGATAATAGGTAGTTTGGCTGAGCATCCCCTTTTTCCCGTTCTATTTTTTTAGAATTTTTTCCTCAGTTTATGGTAAATTATATGTCATTCAAAAGAGCTCTTCAAGCTGAATCGGTTGAAAATGAAATCAACGTAATCCGATTTAAATTAACAAAGTTATAACCGTTCATTTTAAGCCCTTGCAGCAACGCAAAAAGCTTTTCCAACGAGAATTTTGCTTCTTAATTTTGTTTAGAATCATCAAATATAGCCGATTTTAGTATCATTCTGCCCAGCTCAGAGTTCTTTCGAATGAAAAGCAAAAAAGTTCAAAATGGACAGGAAAAAAAGGGGCATGGTCAGCCAAACTTTAATTCCAAATCGTTTCGTTAACAAATTATGGTTATTTCATAACAAGTTGAAAAATTTTTACAAAACAAGCAAACAAAAAAGACGAAAGCTCACGTTGGTATAATTTTGAAAAAAAATGTGGAGAAGAATTTCCGTTTAAAGAGTTTAGTGGTAAATGGGTATTATTTTATACAAGATGTGTCGTAGAAAATTGTAGCCTATTTTATAAAAGCTTAATAAAATTGTCATATTTCCCTCGCAATAGACGAAAATCATATGCCTGACTTTAATAATGCTTGCCTTTAAATTGAGAAATGTAAATTGGGAAATGCTCATTTTAAAATTTTTTAATTTTTAATAATTTTTATATGCTTTATATTTTAAATAAATTCATTAAATAAATAAATTCATAAAAATCTCTCTACAGTTTAATAGAGAGAAAGTTTAGTAAAGTGGAATAAGCGAACTATTGTAATTATTAATTATTCTCGAAGAAATATAGTAAAAAATATTAAAACAAATACCTATCTCATGGTTAAAAAATATCTTATGTTTGCGAATAAAAATCTGGTAATTAGTAAGGGATAAGTAAAAGTTTCGCCGCGGGAAAGCATTGATCCTGCGACTATAGAGGTTTCTGATATATATACAAACTTCGCCTATTTCAATCATGTGCCATAGTGATTATTATGGAGTTGATCCGGGCTTTCACTTTTAATAGATTTTAAACTCACATAGTTTTACTGCTATCCCGTTGAATGAATCTCCCTTCATCCTAATAATAGACAAGGAATTTTGACTAGTAAAGCTTACCTACTTCTCATGAATCATCCAAACAATTATGTACTCCCCTGTATAGATGTAAAATTTCTCAAGAGCAAATGTAAAATTTTTTTGATATGAATATTAAATTTCTCAAGCTATTAAGTAGGTTATGAGCCTCTTGATCACATGAAAATCTACCGTTTTAGCTATAATGCTGAAAATTATAATCTATCTATAATCTAACAATCCAAATTTTAAATTTCTTATTTCAACTGCATTCAAATAAATTTAATTTAATTATTTCAAGACATAGACAATCATGAATTTTTTTACCTTTTTTATATTAATTTATTATTTCGTCGGATTAATTGCAGCAACGAGAGATTTCCTCAAAACCGAGGAATATAAAAAATTTGTGGAAAAAGAAAAGGGGGAACTATTAGAAATGTATAAAAAATACTTTGAAAATGATCATGAGGGAATGGATGATGAAATTTTTCTAGAACTGACAATTGGATCATTTAATAAGTATTTTCAACTTTTACTTGAAGATGTTGCTGGGAGATTTGCGGAAAATGACGATAATGAAGAAATAATTTTTATTCAATTAATGACTGGAATGATGAAGAATGAGGGAAAAGAAGATAAATTAAAGAAAATAGAAAATGAAAATTTTGGGTGGAATGATGAATTTGGCGATGCATTTAAAGAATCGCATGAAGATGCCTTAAAATTATTAAAAGAGCTTTTTAAAAATGAAGATTTGTCTCCAGTAAAGAAATTTTGTAAAATTTATAATTTAGTAGATTATTGGGCGAAAAATGAAGAACTTACAAAAAATAATTATTGGAATGATCTTATAAACAAGTTTAATTATGTAAGTATATCATTAATCTAAAAACGTAGTTTTTTAATTAATTTTTAAATATTTCAGAAGAAAAATTTTGAAAATCAAATTTTGTGTGAAAATGAAAAACAAATTATTGAGATACTCAAAAAATGGTTAAAAAATGAAGAATTTAAAGCTACGATTAATTCAGTACATTTACAGTTTATAGTTAGTTTTCAAGAAGATTTACAAATTTTTATTTATGGAACAAAGGGAACAAAAAACAAAGTAATAAATTTGATAGGACAAAAAAATTTTGAAAAAATTAAGAAAAAGTTTTTAAAAGTAATGCACGATCAGTTGCAACAAGGTAAGAAAATTTATTTAAATTTTAACAGTTATTTTTTGTTGTTAAATAAATGTTCGATGATTAAATTAAATTAATACAAGAGATTGGGTTAGACAAATGTTTGTCTTCGAAAATTCAAATATTTGTTTATCAGATTTTAAATGATCACATTTTTCAAATATTCTCAAATAATTTGATCAAATATTTGATTTTGTCATTTGTCTGATCACTAATTAATCAGAACTCAAAATTTAAGCCATATTGAATAAAACAACTCAATGGAAACATTATGAAAAGATATTTAATTTGAATGAACCAGAAGAGATACATAATTACAGCAATGTAACTAATGAAGAAAGGCTTATATATATTGGAATGTTTTCTAGAAGGGTTGATAAAATTGAGAAAAATCTAGATTCGAAGGAATTAGAAGATTTGTTTCTTAGAATAAAATCGGTTATATACGAAAAATTTGAAACAGATCGTGTAGCTCAATTTTTATTTGTTATTGCAAAGCTTTTGAAAGAAAAGGAAGCTCTATATAAAAATTATGTTAATGAAGGGGAAACAGAAAAAATAATCGAGGAGGTCGATTCAGAAATTGAAAATTTTACATTAAATGATAGTATAGAACCATATGTAAAAATGAGAAAATTTCTGGCTGAAGAAAATATGGAATTCTTGAAACCAAAATTAAACGATCAAAATATAATAAATAAATTCAAGAAGAAAGATGGCTCGACATTTTGTTTATTTATGCTATTGCTAGATTATCAGACTGATCTCTATAAAATTTTGGATAAGAATGGATTATTCAAAATGGAAAGTAATGATATTTACACTTTTATTTATAGTTGTGTCATTAATTTAAGTTTATAGTCCATCTTTTTTGATTAATAATCCATATAAATTATAACTAGGGATGGGATTTATATGGACTAAAAATCTCAAAATATGGACTGAAATATGGACTAAAATCCAAAATATGGATCAAATATGGACCGAAAAATGAAAATTTTTAACGGAAAAATGAATTTTCACAGATAAATAATTTGATTTTGTTCATTTAAAGTGTTTTCTAAAGGCTTTTTGTCCATTAAAGGTACATTTAAAGTGTTTCCAGGGGAAATAATTTTATAATAGTTGATCAGAAAATTTTTTAGAAAAATTTTTACAAAAAACGTTTTTTTATTTTTTTCAAAAAAATTTTTTTTATTTCTGACAAAAAAATTCCAAAATTTTCAAAATTTTGACCAATTTTTGGCAAAATTTTACGAAAAATGACGAAATATGGACTGATAACTCAAAAACGACCGTATCACCATATGCTAAAATAACGTTTTTCGTGCGTTTCATGACCCAACTAGGCCAGGAAAAAAATATGGAAATCCATATAAATCCCATCCCTAATTATAACACAAATAATTTAAAAAATAATGATATAAAATAATGAAATACTATTTAAACTCAATAAAAAAATATTAAAACAGTTTTAATTTTATTTTGCCAATTTAGATTTTCTAGAAGATGAGAAGATAATAAAATACTATATAGTATATTTCCAATCATCGAAGGATGTAATTAACCAAAAGACAAACAAGATTATAGTTGATTATCTTGCTTGGTTCAGATGGGCATGTGGCTCGATTAGTGTAAAAAAGGATTGGAAAATAAAAAATAATAGAAAAAACATGTTGGACGTTTTCGAAGCGCAGAAAATATTTTTTAAATTAAGTTATGAAAAGCTTTTCTATATCAACAAAGAAAATATTGAAATTGATATTACAGAATTGGTTTGCAAAATATATAAGTTGAAATTATTTATCGAAGGGAAGAAAAACAATAAACTTAAAGTAAATAAGTTTATAACCATTTTAAAGATATTAAATAGTAGAGCTGTCCGAGACTCTTGGTCTTGGTCTTGGAACCAAGACTTGGTTTTTTTTCGGTCTTGGT